TCACGACACTTTACAGCGGCCATGTTTACATCTGGTCCTACGAGACCCAGCAGATCGTCAAGACCTTCGAGCTCACCGACGTCCCTGTGCGAGCCGGCCGATTCGTCGCAAGAAAGAACTGGATCGTCTGCGGATCCGATGACTTCCAGATCCGCGTATACAACTACAATACCTCAGAGAAGATTACCTCCTTCGAGGCTCACCCCGATTACATCAGAGCCATCGCCGTCCACCCGACACAACCCTTCGTCCTGACCGCCTCCGATGACATGACGATCAAGCTCTGGGACTGGGAGAAGGGCTGGAAGTGCGTGCAGGTCTTCGAGGGCCACGGCCACTATGTGATGGGCCTGGCCATCAACCCCAAGGATACCAACACCTTCGCGTCCGCCTCCCTGGACCGCACCGTCAAGATCTGGAGCCTCGGCTCTGCGACCCCCAACTTCACCCTCGAGGCCCACGAGGCCAAGGGCGTCAACCACGTCGACTACTACCCTCACTCCGACAAGCCTTACCTCCTGACAACGTCCGACGACCGTACCGTCAAGGTCTGGGACTACACCACCAAGTCTCTGATCGCCACCCTCGAGGGCCATACGAATAACGTCTCATTCGCGTGCTACCACCCCGAACTGCCAGTTATCATTTCCGGATCCGAGGATGGCACCATTAGGATATGGCACGCCAACACCTACCGTTTCGAGCAATCTCTGAACTACGGCCTGGAGCGCGCATGGTGTGTCTCCTACCAGAAGGGCAAGCAGGGCGTCGCTGTTGGTTTCGATGATGGTGCGGTCGTCGTCAAGCTTGGTCGCGAGGAGCCTGCCGTCTCCATGGACGCCTCAGGAAAGCTCATCTGGGCCCGCCACAACGAGGTCGTTTCGGCCATCATCAAGGGCGGAGGTAGGTTATGGCCATTCTTGGTCTTTGCAATAGTCGCTAACAAGCCTAGATGCCTCTATCAAGGATAACGAGCCCATCTCCCTCCCCGTCAAGGAAATGGGCACTTGCGAAGTCTACCCCTCGACTCTCCTCCACAACCCCAACGGACGATTTGTTGCTGTCTGCGGTGACGGCGAGTACATCATCTACACAGCCCTGGCATGGCGCAACAAGGCTTTCGGTTCTGCATTGGACTTCGTCTGGGCGGCCAAGGAGAACACCAACGACTTCGCCATCCGCGAGTCGGCGACGAGCGTCAAGGTTTACAAGAACTTTGTTGAGAAGTCGGGCGGCCTCGATGTTGGCTTCCAGGCCGACGGCCTCACCGGCGGTGTTCTGCTCGGTGTCAAGGGCCAGGGTGGTATCTCGTTCTTCGACTGGCAAACCGGCGGCCTTGTGAGAAGAATCGAGGTTGAGCCGAGAGAGGTATGTTGGATATGGTTTACGTGTTGCGGACGAATGCTAATAGGCACAGGTGTACTGGTCCGACAGCGGTGAGCTTGTTGCTCTCGCATGCGAAGACACCTTCTATGTCCTCCGCTTTTCGCGTGAGGCCTACGTCGAGGGCGTTCAGTCCGGCGAAGCCGATGAGGATGGCGTCGAGGCCGCCTTCGAGGTCATTACCGATATCAACGAGAGGTAGGACGCTCGCTCAACTGGCAATGATCCACACTGACTTGGTAACAGCGTCCGCACCGGAGAGTGGGTTGGCGACTGCTTCCTCTACACCAACAGCACCAACCGTTTGAACTACCTCGTTGGTGACCAGACCTACACCGTCTCTCACTTTGACCAGTCCATGTACATCCTGGGCTACATTCAGCGCGACTCAAGGATCTACCTTGCTGACAAGGATGTTGCCGTTACCTCATTTGCCCTGTCCCTACCCGTCCTCGAGTACCAGACTCTGGTCCTCCGTGACGATATGGAGACAGCACAGGAGCTTCTGCCAACAATTCCCGCGGATCAGCTTAACAAGATTGCGCGCTTCTTGGAGGGCCAGGGCCACAAGGAGCTGGCACTGGAGGTCGCGACCGACCCCGAGCACAAGTTCGAGCTTGCCCTTGGTCTGGGCCAGCTTGACACCGCTCTTGAGCTCGCCAGGGAAGCTGACGTCGAGCACAAGTGGAAGACAGTCGGTGATGCCGCTCTTGCAGGGTGGCAGGTCGCCGTCGCACAAGAGTGCTTTACTCATGCCAAGGATCTTGGATCCCTCCTCCTGCTCTACTCCTCTACTTCCGACCGCAGTGGTCTTTCAAAACTGGCTGAGCAGGCCCAGGAGGCTGGTGCTCACAACGTTGCCTTCAGCTGCCAATGGCTGCTTGGTGATGTCGCTGGCTGTGTGGAGATCCTCACCAAGACCGGCCGTTTAGCCGAGGCTGTCCTGTTCTCGCAAACATACAAGCCCAGTTTGACGGCAGAGGTTGTCAAGGAGTGGAAGGAGAGCCTCGACAAGGGCAAGAAGGGTCGCGTGTCTAAGATGATTGGCGCACCGGTAGAGGACGAGGAGCTTTTCCCTGAGTGGGATGAGTGGTTGAGGCTCGAGAAGGAGGGCGGCATTGCCGCCGAGGTGACTGAGGTCAAGGCGGTCAACGGCACCGAGTCACCCGCAGAAGCCGAGGAGGAGGCTGAGGAGGCCGGGGAGGAAGCGGAAGAAGAAGAGGAGGCTGAAGAGGACGACGAGTAGGAAAATTTGTGCTCGGTTGTCTCGAATGAAATTTGATTATAGTAGGGTAAGGGGAACGCAAAAGGCCTAGATGTCGAAGTGTCTGGTCCTGCCTCGACGGGCGTTGACGGTAATGATCATGCCTTGCAAATAAATGGAAGCTGTTTTATGCACCATGTCATCTCCTGTCACACTGTTGGCATGAAAAAGTTGTACATGTATATACGTTGATTGCTATTCGTTCTTGATTCTGAAGATGTGAGACACCTTACAAGGTCAACCGCCCAACGCCGTGTCATTGATTGTACATGTGGCATACTCTAGTAAGTAAGACAAACCTCCCCCGCCGACGCCGTCTTCAAAGCCCAACTCTCAACTCGGTCAAGACCCCAGATGATGGTGAACAGGTGCCTCGCAAACTCGTCCACGTCGGCGGCAGCAGCGTTGCGAAACAAGCCCTCGGAATGGAACGACGGAACGAAGAAGGTTCCATCGCAGCATGTCCCGCCAACACCACCAGTCTGAGTCTCTTCCCGCGTCAACCGCTCGTACGCGTCTTTGTTCTCCGCGGCCAGCTCTCTGCAGAGAGACGCCCATCGCGGGGCGGACGGGGCGTCCCAGAGGCCTGCGCGTGCGGTGAAGAGAGCTCCGCCGAGACACTCTGACCAGCTTCCTTTGAGGGTGGCGTAGACGCCGACGGTGCACGTCACGATGAGCCACGTGCGGCGGACGGATTCGGAGAGGACCCAGAGGTTGTAGGTTGAGAGGTCCGAGTCGTAGGTGTCGTCTTCGTCCCGGGGATTGTTTCGCTGGGCGGACATGTCGTTGCAGTATTTCGAGACGGGGACAAGGTTCTCCGAGAGGGCGTTGGCATCGAGGGAGGCCGAATCCCAGAGCTGTCTGCACCAGAGGGACAGGGTCGGGAGGTGGACCTCGGCGGCGGCGCGTTGGCTTATGGAGCCGTCGAAGAGGCGGAGGACGGTGTAGACGAAGAGGGCCTGGACTCTTGCGAGATGGTCGCGTGTTTCTAGCAGCGGGACGGGAAGGGATGTATCGTCCGTGACGGGCTGGGATGCCATCATGGCTGTTACCCTCTCGTCGAGGATCCGATGAACGAAGGCTTCGTTTTGGGGTGTCTTGTGGTGGTACATGGACGCGGAACTGAAGGCGTCTTGGAGGCATGAGGGGAAGTAGTTGCCTTCTGCGTACATGCTACGATGGATGAAGGGGTTGTGGCCGTGCAGGACCCAGCGGTGGACCCAAGCCTGGAGGCCGCGGGTGAAGTTTGTCAGGACCGAGGTCGGGTAGATGTTTCGTGGGGGCGTTGGCAAGTGGTCGATGCGCCATGTCGAAGGGGCGAGGAACCATTTGCTCTGGGCGATGTCTCGTGCGACTGAATCTCTGTCTGTGTCCGGGGTTTCGGTGTTGGTGGCCTGTTGCGGCAGAGGGGCAGATGCCTGTGGGTTGACAGATGCGACGGCGGGTTGCGCGCTGTTCACGTCGGAAGGGAGGCTGCCGAAGTCGATCCACGGGTTGTTTCCCAATCCGATGGACAGAGGACCGGCGTCAAGAGAAAAGAGGTTTGGTGTTGCTACCGCCGGTGCAGATGGAGCGGCTGCCTCTGAGAGCCCGACGGTCTTGTGAGGCAGGGGACGTCGGCGCTTGGCGACGGGATAGTGACAGTCAACGTCCCGATCGTCGCATCGGGTACACGATGGAAGCCCCTTATCGCAGCGGCGCTTGGATTCGGTGCAGGCTATGCATGCTTTTTGCTTGGAAATGCGCGCCATCGCGCGATGCAATAGAGAAGGATCTCGGGCGGCGCGGATGAAAGCAGAGCCCCGACTGGTATCCGACGAGAAGTGCTCTTGCACGATTGTTTACTCTAGCGGGGTCGTCATTAACACGGAATAACGTTACTGATGATTGAGAAGCGGGATGGAGGACAAATGTGGCTGCTGCAGCAGAGGCCTGACGTTTGTCAGCTCCGAAGACGTAAGCCGGAGCATAAGCGGTGGGCGCGGCCGGTTCGTGCGGGTTTTGCGGGTTTCCGGCGGCAAATTTGCGGGAATCTTGCGGAAGTTCCGTCGGGTTTCTTGCGGGGCTTAGCGGGAGAGCGGCCGCATCTTCTTGCAAAGCACCTCTTCCAGAAGAATGACCAAAAAGTTCTCATGAGAAGTTCCGATGATGACAAAACAGTGCCATTGGTGGCGTGCTAATTCTCGTGACGCAAGACGTAATCGCGCATGAATGATTACAGTAGTTGTTATAAGAGGAAGGGGTTCGTCAGCTAGGTTCAGTTGAGAGTTTTTAAAGCAGTATCAGCACGCTCGATCGCGATCAAACCGAGTACACAATAGCAACCAGCGCCTCTCAACAAGATTCAACAGCCATGCATACCCTTTTTGCCAAGACTGCTGGCCAAGACGGCAGCACCTTCACCAAGACCATCCACAAGACAACCTATCCGACCATCGACCCTGCCCGCCCAGAGCTGTCTCAAGCTGGTCGGACGGTCGTGATCACTGGTGGTTCTGCGGGAATTGGCTTCGCCATCGCGCAGGGCTTCGCCCAGGCCGGTGCCAGGCACATCATCATCCTGGGCCGGCGCCAGAACGTCCTCGACGAAGCGGTGTCGCAGCTTCACAAACAGTACGCTTCTGTGAAGATAGATGGCCGTCAATCTGATGTAGGCAATCTTGACGAGACGGATGCGCTTTGGAAGAGCTTCGAGAACGATGGCATCTTCGTTGACGTGCTAGTCCTCAACGCCGCACTTGTCTCGGCTGGTAGCCCCATTCTGGAGCTGGGTCGCGATGAGGTCTGGAGCCAGTACCTTGTAAACGTGCGATCCCACCTCGACTTTACTGAGAGGTTCTACAAGCAAAAAGGAGGCGAGAATCGTCAAAAGGTACGGTCGATGTAACTCTCCATCAGTCTGGCATGAATTGTATGGCTGACATCAACAACTATCAAAGTTCCTTGTCAGTCTCTCGACAGAAGCTGCCCATAACTTTGCCAGGGCGTCTCTTTGGCCCGCGTACAGCACGACCAAGAATGCGGGCACCATGCTCCTGCAACGGATCGCCAATGATACACCTGCCGAGAAGATGCAAATCATCAACTTTCACCCTGGTGTGGTTTACACGGATGTCTTCAAGCCTTTTGTTCCCAGAGATATCTACCCATTTGATGATGGTGAGTCATTGCCGTGGCTAAATTGACGGGGAAAGAATCCAACTAAATGTTGTACTCAATGTAGAAAAGCTGGGCAGTCACTTTGCTGTGTGGGCGGCTTCTGACGAAGCTCGATTCCTGCATGGTCGCTTCGTCTGGGCTGCCTGGGATGTTGATGAACTGAGAACGGGTGAGATCAAGAAGAACATCGATAATAACCCAGAGTTTCTCCAGGTTGGCATCGTCGGACTGCAACAGTGAGGTCTGGGCCTTACTCGGATCAGAGCCCCTGCAAATGGGCTTGGTGTATTTCAGGAACAGATAGACCTACGTTTCTTCATTTACCCTCAATAGACGCAGGAAGTTTCTTCCCTGATTGTAGATAAAGAACTTAATCTTGATGCCTTGTAAGGCGCAGGCTACTTTACACTCGTTCGCCCAGCTGATTTCCGTTTCGGGAAAGCCTCTGAGAAAGGGAATTCGAGGAGTCTCAGCTGACGCCACACAGTCGCCGACCGTTGGGCGTATCTGAATGCTTAAATTTGCCAAGAATTGTAGCGCAGGGCTGAACCATTGGTTTAATGCGGTGGTTGAAAAACATCACCCCCAAATTTTTGAAGACATCAGCTGCTGGGCTGACTCTGTCACGGCTTGAACTTCCATCAGCCGAGGAAGACACGAGGAACTGTCAAAGAGGTCAGCGAAGGCACATTGGTCGAAACTTGTCTATAATTAGAAGCAACGCGACACATATATACACTAAGGTCAGATGTACCTTGTCTGTTCCGAATCCCATGCTCATCGCATCAAAAGCCAGCCAGGCATATGAGGCCGAGCAACGTCCCTTGCGATCCCGTTGCTACGAAGTATCTTCCCCACAGATCAACTTCTATACTTCTCTTTCTGGCATGAAACAGGACCTTGACACACATCGTCATTTTCCCATAATCGCTCGGCGCTGGGCAGCCGATCTGGTTCACCCCTAGCCCTGATGCCGTCTAGCCCGATAACTAGCTAAGCCACTTCCCCTGAATGCCTCGTCGAAACGACTCTAGACCCGTTAAGCACATTGCTACTTCACTCAGATTACTCTTCATGGTAAAGCCAGGCAGAAGGGCACGATGAAACATGGAAAAGATCTGCTCTAGCTGAAAGGTTTGGCATCCCCAAGGGAATGGTTGACGGTTGCCTAACATCCGTGTGCACGCCGGTGGCCATGCTAATTCCATCACCACGCCCAGGTTTTGATCTCTTGACGTTCCTGTCATATTCACAGCGCCATCATGTCAGAACTAGACTGCCACTAGGAAGTGCACGTCCTCCATGGCGGCTATCCGGCGCGTCGGAGTTGTCCTTATTTTTGCTGTGTGAAATTAGGCTCCAACGTTGAGGATCAGGGGCACTCATCGTGGATAGAATCTATTTAACTTGAGCGTTGCCGGTCTTCCGTTATGGCTGGTTTCTAATCGTCATCAACTCAGCCCGACAAACATTGCATCTCTCAAACTTCTACTGTCAACGCTCATTCAATCAGTTTCGCTTTCAATAAACCACCTTTCATCAGTCAAGATGCTTGCCAAGATCACCTTCGTCGCCGCCCTCGCCGGCTCGGCTGTCGCCGTCATGGACGTCCGTCCGGACCGTGTCCGCCGGGATATCCTCCCGCGCCAGACCGACGCTTCGGCCGACCCCTGTCTCAACGCCCTGGCAACCGTCTACTCCAACGCGCCCACGCCTGACCCAAAGATCGTCTCCTATGAGATGACAGCGTCGCCCCAGACGGACCCTTGCAGTGTCACCGTTCCCTCCGACCTCAGCTCCGACTACGCGAGCTACACCTCTGCAGTCCTCAGCTGGGTTGACGCCAACTCGGCCTCCATCGCCTCTGCCCTTTCTCAGTGCTCCACTCTCACGGACCTCACCACCGAGATTCCCGTCTGCACAGCTACTAGCGCCGGCTCCGGTGGCTCAAAGGCAACGGGCACGGCTGGTGGTGCCGGAGGCACTGGTTCCACGAACGCTGGTCCTCGTGAGACCGGCATGGTTGCAGCTGCCGTCGCTGCCGCCGGTTTTGTTGGTGCGGCTGCTTTCTTGTAAAGACTCGAAGCTGTAATTGTATCATTCCGGGGGAGGGATTGGCGCAATTTGGATCGTTGATATCAAAATTGTATTCGTTGGTCAAAGTTTGTACATGAATCTATGTCGCTATCAACGACTTGGAAGTAATTCTGCCGCCCCTTTTCATCATGACCCGTGAACCAACCGTGCCTTCTATGGAAACATCACCTTTAAGCGTCATAGGGTCTGACAACCCACGGCGTGGCCTCCGCCAATGCCGTCGTGCACTTGGCCGCCAAGGCTGCCTTAGCCTCAGTGCTGTTAGACGGAATGCAAGGCATACCAATGCCGCCCTTGATGCCGTCACACAGGATGACAGGCTCGCCGCCACAAGGTGTAGAGATGTTGAAGTTCTTGAACTGGATATTATCACAAACAGCGTTGGGGTTGGTCGAGCAGGTCAACTTAGCAACGGCACGGCCATACTTGCCGCTGCTGTATCCTGAGAAGTTCTCAAACAAGATGTTGGAGATGTTCATCTGCGAAGGGTACTGCTCGCAGACCGATGCATTAATGTTGAAGTAGCACGAGTCAATGAAGGCCGTGTACTCGTTGTTGGCCTGCCAGAAGTTGCGGAAGGTGACGTTGTCGATGAAGCCGTAGCCAACGTTAGGGCCGGCCCAGGTCTTGAGGCGAGCGCCGTGCTGGCCGTTGAGCATCCAGACGTTCTCGATGACGACGTCCTTGACGAAGCTCTTCTCGCCGGCGTACTGGCCCAGGGATCCCATGGATTGGCCGTGAGTACCGTTGCAGTACATGGTGTCAACGTGGATGTTGCTGGCGTTAGACTTGGGCGAGAAGCAGTCGTCGCCGATGTTAACCCAGGTGCGCTCCACGCGGACGTCCTCGACATTGAGGGAGTCGAAGAAGTCGGTGTTCTTAGGAAGAGCAGTGGCGTTGTTGGACTCGGCGGTGACAATGACGTCCTTGAAGGAGATGTCCTTGGCTGGGGAGAATGTTAGCTGTGTTCACACAAGATTCTGTACGGCGCTTTGTACTTACAAGTCACGACGAAGGTGGTCCAGCAAGGCGAGTCCTTGAGGTGGAGGCCCTCCATAGACAGGCCAGTCGCGTTCTCGGCGTAGAACAGGATAGGACGCAGGTAAGTGTTGTCAGGGTCAAGAATCCTTCGAACTGTCAGCAATTTCGAACGCCTTCGGAGTATAACGCAGGGGACTTACTCAAGACCGGCGAACTCGTTCCACCACCGTTGGCCATTGCCGTTGAGAACACCCTCTCCGTACAGCTTCACCTTGTTGCCACCCCACTTCCAGAACATGATGGAATTCTGGAAAGGGTGGGTGAAGGCATTCTCCTGCCAGTAGGGAGTGTCGTTGGTGAACTTGATCTCACCCTCCCAGTGAACGTGCACATCGTTCAGCCAGGTCAAGTCGAGCGGCTTGCCGATGATGAAGGTCTGGTTAGCGGGGAGGTAGAGCGTGCCGCCGTTGTTGGCCTTCTTCAGACCCTCGACAAACTCATCAGAGATGTCGTCCAGGTCGTTCTTGGAGGCGCGGATGGTGTAGGTCTTGCGGTGGCAGTCCTTTCCGCGCTTCTCGTAAGGGTGCTTCTCGCGAAACTCCTGGATGTTACGAGGAACGCCGGCCGGAAGCTCAATCGCGCTGGAGAGCGCAGTGCCAGCAGTGGCCAAGGCGGCGAGGAGGGACGAGACTCTCATGGCTGCGTGTGGGATTGGACGGCGAGGAGGAAACACACACGTCGAGGAGGGTTGCCAAGTGAGATGCCAAGGGAAAGGGCTGCTCGGGAGAGGTGATCAGCCATCCATTGCAACTCTTGTGAGGCCGAGTCTCTTCATATACTCGAGCCGCTTGGCATTGGACCTGCATCGCCAAGCGACGTTGGCACAGCTCTCCTCAATTTCTTTTCCCGCATTTTCACAAGATCATCATGACCAACACCACCACAACCCCAAACGTGCTGTTTATTTCCCCAAAGTCGGGGTAAGATAGCAGAGGCCGATGTGAAGCTAGTCTCGCTTCACCCAGCCATCTGGAAATAACCAAGCGTATGCTGCACGAGGGGAGAAACCACAGCTTTCCATTCCACCTATCATGCCCTTGTTTCTCCTGCCGTTCATCGCCTGCATCAGTCCATCCGCGTAATCAGCAGACCGCTGCACCGGGCTTCAGCCCGGCCACGCTTTGGGGGACCAACCGCAACCCCATCGCGGTGTTGTGAGAAGTTGGGGAAGATGGAGAGGGAGGCTTGTTGGCTGAGGTGGATTCGGAGATTGTGCAGGTGGCCTGCATATCGGCTCCAGGGTCGACTGCACCGTCTCTTCCACGCGAGGAAGTGATTGATGGGATTTCTCAACCGCTGTCGCCGGAGAAAACTAGCCGACAATCGGATGCGTTCGACCTGCGCCGCTAGTCTTGGTCCCCCGCACGAAGCCCATTTCCCCCAGTGATCCATTTCTTTTTCCACCTGGTAGTCCCCCGCGTCGTGATGTGGAGGATGGCGGTGGATGCGTGGCCAAGAAAGGAGATCTCTCCGTGTTGCCGACGCCGCAAAGCTTCACTCACCTTGGCCGCTTGGTGTCTTGGCAAATAATGCCAAGAGGCCTTACGTGAATTATTCCTGGGGCGACGACGTTTTTATAGTCTGACGTTCTGTTTCCCAGGTCGCCTGAAAATCTCAGCTCTTGACACAGTGAACTTTGGCGTTTTTGTTGTCCGCTGACCGTCAATGGGTCACGTAAAGCCAGGGATGCGCGCGACTTCCATAGTGTTTTTCTTTCTTTTTCTTGGTCAGATTTCTCTAGCAGAAACACCGCGATTTCAATTTCAATGCCTGTTTGACTTTCCCAAATTACCTAGCTATCAAACAGTTGTAAGGCCATTTCATTGAAGCCCATCACTATGATAGAAAACTACGTAATTGGAGCTTTTCAGTGGCCTTCTCGTTCCCACTTCGAGATCTGATGTTCTTGGAACAGCAACCTAGGCTGGAAGACATTATGTACCTAATGCTGTTCGGAAGTAAGCAGATGGAAATTCGGTTATCGTGACATTCGATAAGCAAAGAGGATACGATCAATCACAGAACCAATCGAGGGCGAGGGTAGTCGCTTACTCTTTTCCTTGTCGAGTTCAAAATTCGCTCTTTTTTCTCAGCATCACAAG